ACGTCAACTTAATTTGCTTGACAGCATCAGTTTCAAAATTGTTTTCAATACAGCATTCAAGTTGCTATGTGTATAATATATTGACCAACGCGAGTTGCTCAGAGTTACTCAAAATTAACTCCGATTTTACTCGTGATCGAAAGCTGTCTTGCCCCCAGCATAGTTCCATAAAAGTAAACATAGTGTGTTATCAATAGTAAAAAAGAAAGAAAAGTGAAAATTACTAATTGGGTTGTTTAGGGGTATTGAGATAAATACATATTCGTTATCTGCATTAAAAATGGAACCGAAATCCAAAATTTCATCAATTTTGGTACACTGGAACTATTTTAAATAAGTACGATTACATTAGCAAAAATCACCATCTTAGCGCCCCTTGGTGGGACTCAATATGGGAACGAGCTGTCAACGAATAGATTTAGTGTCAACGATCAAAAATTTAAATCTTGCTTTAAAAATCGAGATGAATGTCTACGGGATTGATAAAAATATCGTTATGCTTAGAAAACGAAGCTCTACCAGATGATGTATAAAAATCTGTATATTTTTCGAAGCTAAACAACCCAATTGCATCATCTTTTCTGGAAAATGTTATAGAACCCATTTGCACTATTTTTTTTTTTTTAGTTTTCTGACCGAACATCAGTATTTTGATTTGGGGTAACTTTGATAATGCTCGATGCATGTAGAAAAAAATGCTTGAAACTCAAACAATTTCGTTCTTTAAATATGAAACTTTTAATGAGTATATAATCATAAAACATCATAAGCAATAAGAATACAACATTGAATTTGTGATGGCTGTATTGGTAATACATTTCATAAGTGATGGTTTGAGTGCTTTTTCAAACAGGCGTAAAACACGAAAATTGTTTATTAATATGTTTGTAAAATGTGTAACACATTCTATATAAAAACTATATACGATATCAACGGAAATGCCCTAAGCTACAATATGGAACCAATGTTCCTAATTTGGAAAAAGCGCAGCGTGTAAATTTAATCTTTATATTATACGATCAAAGTTACCCGCATTATCAAAGATACCTCGTTTTAAAGTAATTAAAAACATATATTTTTTGTAGTCCCAGTGGCATTCTGGGAATCAATTTCTACTAATTTAACCAAATTGTATGGAAGCTATTTCGATTTAGAGACGAAACAGTTAAAACAAAAGCATGCTAAATATACATTCTTTCCGGTAAAGTTCTAAACATTACATTCCCGGGAAATTAGAAGAAATTTCCAATGGATGCTGATGGACATTTTTTGAAGTGTTTGGAAAGAGCTTACAGAGCTGTCAGAAAAAAAAACTTACAGAGAAAGTTAAAAGAAACTTCCAGAGGAAGCTGATAGACTCAAAATGAATCGTTAGAATTGGCCAATGCTGAGCCGCCAATTCCTGAAGAGGATAAGATCTTCCTCGGCCAAATTTGGCAGCAAGATTTCGCGGTTCTGCTGTGACAATGGCGGAGAATACAGAAAAAGCTCTTTCTATGCGGGAGGATTCCGGAATCAGCAAGAAATTCTGGGATTCGGCGATTCAGACTGCGGCGTTTCTGACGAACCGAAGTCCAACGAGCGCGCTCGAGTCGAAGAAGACCCCATTCGAAATTTGGGAAGGTCACAAGCCGGATGTGCAGAAGCTGCGGGGAGAAGAACAACTCTTGGTCGTTGACGAAGATCTCAAAAGGTCGTGTCTCGATTAAGTGGGTGTTCCGGTTGAAGCGGAGTGAAAACAACGGAGAGGATCGCTACAAAGCCAGGCTAGTAGCACGAGGATTCACGCAAAGGTATATACTATATACTGGCTTGCTTAACGCTTCAGTGGCGCCACCATGACAAATGCAAGCACATTCCCAACTAAAACCTTATTTGCGAAGAATGTGATTGTGTTATGTCTGTTTGCCTGTGGTTAAAGTTTAGCAGGGGTTATAAACCATTTTTGGCAGGGCCCCGACCAACCATTTCGTTAAATTTCTTTAATTTTCGATATATCGATCTTCAAAGACATTCATATGAAAAATCGATAGCGATCGTCACCATTTAATGAATAAATGTAAAGATACTAAAAGCCTGATCGTGAATCATTTATAAACATCTTTATCAAAATGTTGCTACTAATCGTTACCTATGTAAAAATATCGATTCGTGTTGCCAGATCAAAATATCGATTTCTCTTGTCAGGTCAAAATAACAATACACGGTACTGATATTTTTGGGATTTTTTTTTATCTGCATAATTGCTACGTTTCGATCCCGTGCCATCTAGGGTGTACTGATTTCTTTGTTGATAGCTAATCCTCGGGTCTACAGCTGCTATTGATGAGCTTTTTAACGACTGGCAATCACACTCTAGTATATGGTGTTTTGAAATTTATGTACATCTTTTCAAGCATGGTGGGGGGGGGGGGGACACCCCTCACCATCCCTCTCCAAATGGGGAGTTTGGTAAAGAGAGATGAAAAAACCGATTCGTACCTTCATTTAAAGTTGTCCTAGCTCGCTATTCTACCATAGAGGTAACTCTAAGACCACTGGGTCCCGAAGAAAATCATTATTATTTTTGGCTCACTCAGTACCAGAACAACGGTCCCAATCAGTCCCAAGCTATTTCACTCACCCCTGCATGTTCTGCATGAATCCACACACCCCTGATGTTATCTGTCAAACTTTCATAGCGAATCAAAACAAACATAGTGTAGTAATAGAATTTCAACTAGAATAGGGTACGTTTATCGTTTGCTTGGGACCAATAGGCTACTAAAGTGGTGAGCCAATTTAAAATCGTTAGTTTCGTATTGATTGTTGATTCTACTATCTATATGCAATTTTCACACTGCCGTACTCTAACGGAACTACACACAAAAATAATCGTTAATAAAATTAAAAAAACCATTGGTAGAATTAAAAGTTTGCGTTGGTTCTTTTTGGTAGAAAGTCTTTAGAATTTAAAATAAAATTTCGCCTACTATCAATTCAAAAGTTAACCGCTCCCTACTTTTAAAAGTTCAAACTTTCAAAACGAATTGTACTTCTGTCAAAACAAAAGCATGGCAGTGTTGGAATAAAAAGTGGATTATTTTAAATTCAAAACAAATTTTTATCATGAAAGTGTGGTCTAATTGAAACGATCTTTTTCACTTTGAATTGAACAATTAAAATATTTTCATTTTAAATACCAGCATTGTCAGTATGACATGTAGAGTTTTTTTTTATTATTCAATTTTATATCTATTATTTTTATTATGATATCAAATCATGGCTCGTGATGAACTGATGAACTCAGACAGTATGTATCAACGGTTTTGGATCGTTAGATATCATGCATTTGGCACACTGTAAGCATTGCTTTTATCTCTGCCAGTAGTCTCCAGGCCAGCTCCCAGGTTTCCTTGAAGATTGATAATCCTTGTAACCTGTGAACATGTTGAAGGGTCTATAATTCAAAATCATTGAGAAAATAGATTACACCTACAGTAAATATGATGCACATTGTACAGTCCGAGGAACAGTTAAATCTGGGAAACGAATCCGGCAAAGGCCTCGGGCTTCGCATTTATTTTGGCAGTAATTGATTGCTAAAGTTCAATCGGTGCGGCACTCGATCGTGGTATCTTGGGATAATATGAACGGTTCCAGGCCAAGTTTGACCAGCAGATGGTGCGAACCAAGAAACGTTCATTTTGGGTCGTTTTGAGGTAATACTGTAAACAGCGAAAGTAGTAAGCATTTATAAAGGTTGTTTAAAAATATAAAAAAAAAACACTTACTGGATCGTCGAGTAGGGCCTATTTGATTTGATCCAACATTTCAAAACCATTCACGGAAATCTAAAACCGGAAGCCAATTTTAGGGACGGGCAGAATCTATGTTTGGGAAGTGGATTGATATGACACTACTGCTGCTGCTTCTGTTTTGTTTTGCATGTTTTATCTTAAAATTTAGCGGCAAAATTTCAGTGCTGCCAAAAGTGTTGGTGTTTAGAGGTATTTTTGACAGTAAACCAATTTTCATTTAAAAAAAATGCACTTTTAAAATTACGAGTCATAAATGAACGAAAAACTTTCAAACCAAAAAAATAGCTTTCGTTTTGAAAATATTCGTTGTTGAAACTATGAAGTTTGAGGAATTTTCAATTTGAAAGTGAATTATTTTTATTACAACAATTTTTGTTCTTTGTGTGTATCAACTCTACACTTTCATCTACTCCATCTATCGTATAAAAATTACCACTACAGTCTGTTATTTGAAAGTTAGCATCTTCAACTATGAATTCAAAATTTATTTGTCATATCCATAACCAAAGTATCAAGTTTTGTCGATAACTAATATAAACATTGCCATCTGTCATCTAGTGTGTATCAAACTCTCTTTACCCAGCGATGCAAATCGATAACAAGGAGATTATAAATGTGCATCGATGGCAATCTTTGTTGTTCTTTGCCAAAGTTCAACGTTACGATGGTATCAGTATTCAAATATTTTTAGATGAATATTTATAAAGAAAACTATAGTCCTTGTGACACATTGAAATTAGAAGATATTTAGCATGGCATCTTTATAGATTACTATCATGTGACCGATAAAGAAATTATCTTAAATGTAAGTATCGATCAATGAAGGTTTTTAAATATATTCATCGAAATCAAAAAAACTTGAAAGTAAAGAATTACCGACATTAATCTTTATTTTTGTGTAAAGAACTTTGAAGAAGTTTCACGAATGGTTGGGGTTTATTCGGGAAGCTATGAGTGCTCCGGAGACACCAAAATAATTTGACGGAGACGTGCACTTTTGTCACACTTTTGACATTTTTGAGTAGTCCAGTTTCAGATGCTGATTTTGTTTATATTTGTTACTTCCGATGCTTTCGACGTAATGAAAATTTGCTCCTGAAATAAATGCAAAAAGTGGTTAAATTTTAATCATCGATGGGTATATAAAAGTTTTCGTGTGCATAAAATTAAAATGACAGATTTCACATGCAATGTAAATATTGCATTTTTGTGTTGCGTATGCAAAAAGTGGTCTTCCGTGCATTGTTTTTCCAGTATTTCCCAGCCGAAATATCGATTTTTATGTGAAAAAAAAGCTATGTGATCGAACACTGTGAAGGTGCTGATCTGCAAACGCTACAATGGAGAAACATCCGGATTTGGAAGCGGTGGTCAACTCCCAAAAGGAACAACTGCTACGTTACGAAAAACGCCTTAAAGGTAATTTACCCGAGTTGCATGTTTCATGAGTTCAAATGAATTTAATTGCAATTTACGTAATTTATTGTCTGCTTTGTAGATGTTGTCACCGCTTACAAGGGCCTGTTGAAGGAGAAAACTGCACTCGAATCGAGTCTTGCTGCCTTTACTAGCAACGGTTCGGTGGAAAAGCATCAACAACAGCAACAAGCTTCGGCTCCTCCAAACGATGGGGAGGGCGGCGAAGGCCTGCGGGAGCAGGTGGCGACATTGATGAATTCCCTGGCGACACTAACCGCGGAAAAGGGTCGGATGGAAATTTCCTTCAAGAGCGAGCGTAAGCAATTGAGGGAGGTGATCGCCGATAAGGAGGCTGCAATTCGAGATCTGGAGGATCAAGTGAAAGCTTTGAACTATACGATCAAAACGGATCTGGAGAATTGTAAGACGAAGCTAAAGCACGATCGGGAGGAGGAGTGTAATGGACAGCTGGTGATGATTTGTGAACTGCAGAAGCAACTGTTGGATGAGAGGCACTTGAATGAGACACTGGAGATGCAATTGAGGGATCTAAAGATTCAATTCAATCAGAAACATTCCGATAAACGTGTAAGCGATATGCCACAGGCTTCTGAGTTTACCAAGCTGAGCGCGGAGCAGTTGGAGAGTTCAAAAAAGGAAAACGCTGCGCTGTCGACTTTGCTTCAGCAGTTTCAGGGTGAAATAGATAATTTGAAGCGCCAGCATGCTGCGGCTATTCGGAACGAACAACGGCGGGTGATGATCGCTGAGGACCGAAGCAAAAAGTTGGAGGAAGTTCACGAAGAACGTGTTGCAAACCTGGAGGCACGGTTGGCTGAACTAAGCGAGGTGGTTGGAACGTACGATCGACTGCGACAGCACGATCAGGACAGTATCTCCAAATTGAAGGACAAGCTGTCAAAATTGAGTCTGGATAATGCATCTACGAGGCGCATTAGTCAGGAAAGCAATGTGGAAAGGATTGTAGAGGAGATAAGCTATTTGAAGAATTTGCTTCTAGCGGAAAATGAGAAACTGGAGAAGCCACTGGATTTGTCTTCCCTATTTTCGATCCAGCCCATTGTCGAGGAGATTGTCAGCTACCCGGCCAGTGAACTGGCCAACTATCGCGATCTACAGCGCAACTTTGAGCAGACCATGAAAGAGAACGAAGCCCTGAAAGCTAACATCCAAATTCATAAAAACAATACGAAAACATTACAGGAGAAGATCAAGGTGTTGAATAGGAACATTGACGATCTAGAAGTGGAGTACAAGAACAAGCTGATTGAGCATAACAACGTACTGAAGGGGGAGAAAATCCGTACCCAAGAGCTGATCAGCGCTCTGGAGTCTGATTTCAAATCGAAACTTTCCCAGTTGGAGCTGCAACTCAAGAAGCAACGTGAACGGTCACTTCAGCTGCTCGAAGAGAAGGAAGAAGAAATCAAATCCCTCCGTACGTCGTTCGACATTTTGATGCACGACTCCAGCGGGGGGCAGCAACAATCCAGCTCAGATCCCAACAATCCAGATGCCATTGATAACCTTCCGTTGGCGCTGTCGAAAAAAATCAGCGCTCTCAATTCAGTGTTCAAAACGGAACCCAACTCGAATCCGGAGACGCACCACATTCTGCACTATGCTCACGAACTTGCCCGCAAAGAGATCGAAATCACCGCTCTACGAACGGCGAAAAATAATGCGGAAACCGCTCTGCGGCAAGCGCTTCACGATAAGGTCTCCTCGCAGGAGGAACTGCACGATAAGATTGTCAACCTGGAGGAGCAAATCGATCGGTGGGAACGTTGCAAATCGCGCGAAGGGGCCAATCTGGAGTACCTGAAGAATGTGGTTCTCAGCTTTCTTATCTCGCAGGATGCCGACGGTAAGAAGCACATGATCAATGCCATCGCGGCTGTTCTGAAGTTTAGCGCGGCGGAAACGGCATCAATCCAGGGATTCGAGGGCGGTCCCAAGCGATGAGGAAGCTCCGCTTGTAAGAAGCGTACATTTGTTGTTCTGTATTGAGAAGAGAGTAAACGAGTGAATGTATTTTGTTATCGTGTCACATTGTATTAGTGAAATAAAGGAAGCGAATCAAAGTTTATGTTTTTCATTTCCAAATGTTAAAGATCGTAACTTTATGGAAAAGAGAAGCCATCATTTTAGAGACTTACACCCATATTTTTGTTTTCATTCGAATCGTATTTTTCATACAAAAATGTGTTTTATTATTCGTAGTTCAATGTAACAGCTATGTCACAAACAAAGAGACATAACAAATTGAATATTTCTCACTGTAAAACATCGTCGTTAAAACATTACAGATGGCGGTAGTGTGCAAACGTCAAACGCAAAGGAATTGACTATGCGCGCCTCAGGTGGCGGTACTATCAGCTAGCATTCTTTTAAATTGACCGTAAAATGCTTGTTCGATGAACAACTTGCGAGAGTTATGTCTGTTTGTCTGTGGCTATACATTCAAGACGGTTGGAAATTTTGAAATAGTTAAAAATTACCTTGACCTGATGGATGGTAGATATAATTACCATGACCTGATGAATGGTAAATAGGAATTGCCATGATGAATGAAGAAATTTTGTAAAATGATTGCCATGACCTGATGGATGGTAGAGTAATCAAACAAAATTGTTAGAATTACCTGATGGATGGTAAATAATAATTACCATGACCTAATGGATGGTAGATAAGGATTTTCATTACCTGATGGATGGAATGAAGAAATTTTGATATAGTTAGAATTACCATGACCTGACGGATGAAATGCCGGCGCCGTTGGTGTAGTGGTAAGCGTGACTGCTTCTAACACCCCAATGGGTCTGGGGGTTCAATCCCAGCCAAGGTCGGTGGGATTTTTCTGAGGCATAAAAATCTCTGGTCACGTCTTCCTTCGGAAGGGAAGTAAAGCCGTTGGTCCCGGCCCATGTGTGTTTGAATGGGTGCGATATCCTACGCAGGTGTGGAAGCGGCCTTCCTGCACATTCGATTGCCGTCAATGTCAATGGATGGCATTCGATGTCCGTCGGTGATTGGCACTAGATTTCGGAACAGAGACCGACGTTAAATAAAAAAAAAGAAAGGAGGAATATGTCATATTGGTTCAGTGTAGGTGTACGGATGTTTAGTCGCTATATTCATAGTCTGGTGGATAGAATTTCGATCTATCAAAAAGCGGAACCAATTCAATACCTTGTAGACCAACAATTGAAAAGACTATGAACTTTTATAAAAAAAAAACGTTGATTGTTCTTTCCTCGCCAATCGAAGGTAAATTACCAGCATCATCGGATAGGGGAACTTTCCACAACCTAAAGATGACTTTAGTTTGTGTAGGCGAGCCTTGAATTACGAGAAAACGGTTTCCGAAGTTTTGTTCGCAATAGCTGATGTGCTCTTTTCTGCTGTTGGTCGTGATTTGCTCGATTGGTTCCGCTATTTGACAGCTCAATTGGTTCCCGAGATTCTATCCGCCAGACTATGAATATAGCCACTATAGTACGGACGTCGTGCGAAGACAAAGAATTTTTTTCAAGAGGAGCGCTACACTCAAAAAATATTGAAAGCTTAATACTAGAAAAGTTACGTTAAATCGCAACTCTCCGTGCCGACGCTAAGGTCGGTATAAAGGGAGAGAATACAGACTTAGTATAAAAATTATTTGTGCCTGCCATAGTATAAAATCGAAATATGCTTACAATGCATACATACTGTTTATTCGAGGGAATGTATTTTCTGCATCTTTTTCGTTTAATGCTTACTATTATTGTTTTCAAATAAAAATTAAAGTTGTAATTAAAGCAAAAGCAGTACCATACACTTATCATTATAGAAACCCAGGTTTATCATTACTCGACGTTTCGATCTTTGATAAGCAGCTTGGGTCCACCCGGAATGGTCATATTCAACGCTTTGGCCGTTAAGTCAAATCCGTCAGCAGTTTATTGGCTAATCTATACAGGGTTGCCATTCATGGCAGGCTTCGATTCCACTTCCAGGCTTATATGCTTCTTTCGATCAATGAGCGGACGATGTTTGCAGAACAATTCGAGAACGTTACCACCTTCAACGTGAACTGAAAAACGACTACGAGTGCCATAGCAACAATCAATACGAAACTAACGATTTTAAATTGGCACACTACTTGACTAGCCTATTGGTCCCAAGCAAACGATTAACGTATCCCATTCTAGTCGAAATTCTAGTACTACGCAATGTTTGTTTTGATTCGCAATGAAAGTTTGACAGATAAAATGAGGGGTTATTGGTTTTTCCTATGTTTCGAGGGGTGAATCGATTAGCTTGGGACCGAAGAGAGTACCAGAGCTGAGCCAAAAAGTTGAGCACGTTTCTTCGGGACCTACTAGTCTTAGACTTACCTCTATGGCCATAGTGTTTGACATTGTCATTTTTGAACATTTTAGTATACACTGATCGAATTCCACTCCGATAATCGGACTTAGTATAGTTTTAAAGAAAATATTAAGCGGTCCAATGTATAAATTTTAACTAATAATAAAATGCATAAAATTTAATCAATATTGGTATTGTAATATTTTTGAGTGTACACCACTCGTCAGTTTTTCGGATATATCGAAAAAAGCTTATAAATTTCCGAACATAAACACATTGTTTTGAAAAAAAAAATCCATAATACAGACGATATTTTCCATGACTTTTCTTTTTGATTTTCTTTACTGGTATAAATTTTCATGCGATTTTTTTTTTTTGCAATTGAATGTTTAATGAATAGCTACCAAAATTTCAAGTAACTTTCAGGTATTCATTTTATTAACTTATGATTTTTTGAAGTTTGTGATGTCCGAAAAAAGCGGAAAACTTTAATTTGAGTTTTCCAGGAAAATCGGCAACCTATATCTTTTTAATTTCTACCTATGGGCGAAATTTCATAGAAATCGGAGACCCTTCGGCCCACCTTGTCCGATAATTAAAAAAATACCCATGGCATTGCGAAATTCTTCAGGCATCGATTAAAGCACTCTCCGTACTGCATATGTGATCCTAGAAATACTCAGAGGGAGAGATGGGCGGAGAAAATGTTTTGAGCCAAATGAACTGTCAAAATCTGAGCCAATCGAACATTCCAATTAGATTTTTTCCGAGGATTTCTTATTCTTACTAGAATAAATTTGATTATGTTTTGTGCACTGAACGAATTTGACATATTCCTGTTATGTGGAAGTCTAATAAATTTGCGCTATAAGATAATCCATTGAAAATGATATGATTGAAAATGTGTCAGGTAAATTATATATGAATATCTGATACATTTACAATGCTGATAATTTGGTAACTTTTATATGATCGTCATATGATAAATGAAAATCGATTAAATTATAATAATTAACTGAAATGGATTTGAAACCCATAAGCATAAGCTATACTTTTCACCACAATATAATATATGTGTCATAAATCAATCGAAGTAAAGTTTATGTGAAAATAACATGAAATTTACTTCTTCTTTTGACACATATATTTAATCGATTTCTAAAAATAAATTCGAAAAATAAACATCAGGCAGTGTGAGCTTTCACAGTTGTGCCTTTTTTTTATTGTAGCTGATTTGGGATTCGATCAAGATCTGTTGAGGTGTGATGCTTTCGGTGTCTGTGCTCGATTCCACTGGGCCACGGCTGACTTCAAGATTGAGCTCGTTCAAATAGCATGAAGTAAGAACAGCTCTCCCGACATGGAATGTAGTGCAACTTTATGCTCGTTTTGCTAGAGTGAAGACAAATAGCACTGACAAATTTATGTTCCGTTTCGGTGGTGTGGTTTGTTCAAATCTTTCTTAATGCACCTGTGTGCAATAAATCAACGACTAAATTATATGATTTGATAGAACTGGCTCATGAAGTTCAAGTACTACTTAGGGCTGGAATCTGAATTAGCCGTGTAGAAGGCTTACAATTAGAATCATAGCAAAGTAAATATTACAGTAGAATAATTTTTTTTTTCAATCTCAATACATTCTTTTCTGGAACCAATTATCATATGAATGAGTGTACGTTAACATCGTTGAAAATTGTTTCAATAATTTATAAAGAACAATCATGTAAGATGTATTTTATTGGGAGCGATATTCATCCCAGAAAAACATGCAAAAACAAATGCTTGCTGTTGGATTTCTTAAAAGGCATTTCTATATGACTATTTAATGATTGGGATAGATCTGTTTACAATCTTTAAACGTCAACAATCAAAGCAAGCTATTACAATGAGATATACATGTTTTCCTATACTGCAAAGTTAAATGACAGTCCAATAGTTTCTACATGTCTATTTACACGCGACATATCAACAAACGTCAAAAATCAGGAAAAGCAACTCCAATAAAATATACATGATTATCTTATAAGATATATATTTTAGTGAGCAATATTCATCATGAAAACAGGTATATTTTACTGAATTTTCTCATAGTGCAAACTTATATGATTTTCCATTAGTTTCTAGATGTCTGTTCCCACCCATGACATATCAACAGTTTTTCACCATGAAATATATCAGACAATATTCATATACTTCTTACCTTCGCTAACCACGTTGGAAGCAAAGTATTATCAAGTACTAAGTATGTGAAATTACGATAGAAATCATTACATATCGCAGTCATAGTTTTTAAGTGATAATCCAATGGAATCTATCAATCATCACATAGAATGAATAAATCTGCTGACATTGCTATGTTATAAGATGGATCCAATAAACGGTACATGTCGATTTGTTTCAGTGTGTGCTTCTCAAATTCAACTAGTTTTTGGAACCAAAAACAATATTCTAACTCTATTGATTAATGATCTTCGTTGGTTAATAAATGGCACCAAGAAATGTGCAAAATATTGCAATGCAATCAATTATTATTTTGCACGTAAATCGAATCAAAAATAAAAGTAATTTGAAATGCTAGCTTCTAGCAAGGGTTGCAAGATAATTTAGGTACAAATCCCTGCTGCCGAATTGTATTTTGTTTTCTCCGCCTATCTCTCTGAGTATTTCTCTTCGGTCCCAAGCTAATCGATTCACCTCTCGAAACATAGA